TTAACATACTCAAATCGCTCAGATACACTTGGATAATAGACCACGATGGAAATGTCAGGAATTTAGATGACATAAAATGGCGGACTAAGCGCGCAATGACCAGTGGTTGTTAGGTTCCTTTGAGATCAGTCTGTCATAGATTACAGTCCCACCCCCACAGCTCCATAGTTATTCCCAATTACGGTCATGGTTGCAGTGTATTTAGTATTGGTTTGCAGCTCTCAGTATTAGCTTTTGAGACTCCGAGAGAGTTGCCTGACATTCTCTTCGAATTCGTTCCCTCTCTCCTTTTTCCTTGTAATTCGACATTGGAATCTTCAGAGAGATAAACATTGATCTTTAGCTATGAAGCATACCTTCCTTTCAAATTTCTAACTTCTGCGATCAAATTCCTCGTTGAAAGTTTAAACGGCTCGAATTGATAGGCAATGTACCCGCGTGAGCCCGAAAGGCGCCTTGAATGGTCAAAAAGTTGTGTGGTAAGGATGTTAACGAAGCAAAAGAAACCTTAACCTGACAATTAACGCAAAACTGAGGTTACCTTCTCTATAACCTAGCATTCCATGCCGTATTTAAAAACCTTGGTGCGAAGGGAAGTCATGGTCCATCAGCGTCAGATAATCCCTACGCAGGTCAAGATCATTACAGACAAGTTACGATAACTAACGGTATTCAACAGTGGACCGTGCCGTACACTGGTTACTACATAATAGAAGCCACAGGAGCGGCAGGAGGGTGTGATCATGATCGGTACCCTTGTGGAGGCAAAGGAGCAAAAATGATAGGAGAATTCCGCCTGAATATGAGTGAAGTCATACAAGTGCTTGTTGGCCAAGAAGGAGGGAGCAACATTAACGCATGGAGTTCAGGAGGCGGTGGAGGTACATTTGTAGTGAGGGGAAATTCCACGCCATTGATAATAGCTGGTGGAGGTGGAGGAGGCGGGCTGAGAGATAAGAATAGACATGGAAAATGCAATGCCAACACAGGCACGACAGGGAATGCTGGTTATGAATCATGGCCAGGGGGAAGCAATGGAACTGGTGCTTATGAGAATGCTACTGAGTACTCTGGTGAGGATAAAATTTGATTACCCATATTACTTATGGAAAAAGATCACTCAAATATTTCTTCGTCAGTTACCACCGTCAAAAGTTATGAAAAGATAATCAACATAGGTTATTAATTGGAGATAATTGGAAATAATTGGAATGGTACGTGCCCCCTTATTGGTAAACTGGTGAATTAAGAGGATAGTATATAAACACAGTCGTGATGTCACGCTTTTTGTTATTTCCATCACGTTTGAAAAAGTTTCAAAATCAAAGTTTTTGCACTACTCGCAAAGTAATTTTAAGTACCAATAACAAATTTTAGAAGAGGAGAAAATTGCCAAGTTTTGATTTGGGGTGAAGCTATCTCTTACTCTCTGAGCCTAAGGAAAAAATGAAAGAGGAACTTTGGCGCTTTGACTGCCTTGGTGATCGTGAGCTGGACGACCCCGACGAGGGAGCTCATTCAAAGATGACAAAACAAGCGTGTAAACATTTTCCATGGTACCGCTTTTTGCATATAAATACTGCAATGAAATCCCTTAAAAGACATTCTTTGCTATGTTAGTTTGAAATGTTCACCAAAACGCACATGCGCCAAAATATGTGCTACCGTCTGTATTCGTCTCGAAGCAATCATCGCACAGCCGACAAGTTGCTTCGTTTTGGCTTTCAAACTTTTCATAAAATTTAATTTTCTTTGAGAATTTCTCGGCCTAAAACACTACTTTCGCATGAACATGATATTTGCTGACTTCTTTCCTTCAGAATGGGATTGCAAAGTTTGCATTCATTTTCGGCTAGGGTAATCTCCTCTTCTTGAATTTCTTTCCTTAATTAAGATTTCGTATATTTTTCTAAATTTCCCTATTTCCCTCTCAAATTTACGAGAATTCAAAGCTGAAATCGTTTCTTTGGCACGGTGCTGCGGTTTTTGTAACGCGAATTTTGATCGGTTTGTGTGTTGTTAGATGCAACAATTGGTTGGCTGGTAGGAAATACTGTCGCCCAGCGTTTGAGCATGTATTACGAAAATCTAAGTCAATTCAGTAAACAACATTTGTGTTTGTTGATCACGATCTTAGACAGATATATCATAAAAGCAATGTAGAACGTTTTCCCGCGTTTACATAACCACACCTAAAAACCTGATTTTAAAGAAAACATATGAGTAAGTCTTTCTTAGTATCCAAAGTATTTCAGAGTTTAAATGTTGATGAGAACAACATGAGTCTTTGCAACAGAAGACTTTGAATTAAAATCATCAGTTTGCGCTGAGACTGTAACTGAAGCTAGGCTTGACAGAAATACAGTTCATTATATCATTTGAAGCTAATCGACGAATGACCCTATAAGCAATTCACGTTATTTTAAAATATCTGCTAAACTTAACAGGTAATTAGTGCGATTTAAATAAAACTGGTGAGGTTTCGCAAAAATTGGGTACCTACAAGTCTAGGCTTGCACGCGCTGAAGCTTTCATCAATAAGAGTACGGTAATCTGTAATGCAGAGCATTACAACGATTCATTTCGCTGATAACAAATGCAGGAATGAGAGTCTCTCCGTTAAATCTCCTTTAATATGCTGCATTGCAAATCTGTTTTACCAATTTGTGCGTAGACTCAATAATTCCAAACAACGGGAAACTAGATTCCAGGCGACTTTTGACGCGATAAAGGGATGTAGGTTTGATACGAGCTTTATGAAGGATGCGAAGTATACATACGAGTATAAAGGGATAGCTTGTTTGCTGGTCACTTTAAGGCGAGAAATTGCGCAAAAATGCACAAAATAATTTCTGGCATTGTTTCACTGAAACGTCATGTCCCTTAAGGAAGAAGTGAACAATGAGAATAATGTCGACGAGAAACTCAAATAACAACAGAAATACGATAGACCGACTTCGTGCTCGATACAAGCAATGAGATAAATGTATCATAATGGTTTTTTGTTCCTTTGTTTTATTTTACTTTAGATGTTGGAGGTGACGGAGGTGGATTTTATTCCAGTGGTGCAGGAAACGGAGGTAGGGATGGCAAGGGCTTTCTTAAGGGCGGATCAGGGGGACAAATCTCGCCCAATTCTCAAAAGGCAGGGTTTGGTGGATTCGGGGGTGGTGGGGCCCGGTCACGTTTAGGGGGTGGGGGAGGTGGAGGTTACTCCGGTGGAAATGGTGGAAAGTATTCCTGTGGTGGCGGGGGAGGATCTTATAACGTCGGGAGAAATCAACAAAATAACTGTTGTGACTGGACATCTTCTGGTCATGGTATGGTAGATATTACGTTTTTGGGGAATCATTGAACAAAATGGAAGCATAAGCTAATCGGTGCTTTAATTCAAATATGCTGCTATACTCAAATCACTTATGTCGTAAAGCACGTCTCCACAGCTACTAAAAACCGTGATCAAGCTGCCTTTCGACCTTCAGGTGTAGTTGGTGGGTCTTCTTCAATTTCTCAAAGGAGAAGTATGCTCCAGAAACCACGGGACTGTTATCTTCACCCTTGTTTGACGTGTTCTGACATTTCAGAGAGTAACCAAATTTTTCGAAAATGCTGTTCAAATGTGTAAAGAATTCGATTTTCATAGAAGAGTAAGTAATTTAGCTACGCATTAACCTGCATATTTCTCCTTGAACGTGTTTCTCATATGGCAGCTGAAGAACTCGCCCATTTCACAAAAGTACTTTTCACATTATAAATTCGCATTTCCTTAGAGACAAGGCGTGAGTAAGTGACCTGATCTGAGGCAACTGATAGTGATAGAAACCAGAACGCCTCATGCGATACGAAATAACGAATTAGTGTTTTAGAGGCAATCAAAATTGCAAGGACCCCAATAAATCACCTAGGGGATCTTTTCAGATCAACTTATTTGCACAGAGCTGGCTGTGTAATAAACATTTGTCCGATCAATTCGTCACAATTAGTGATAGTACTGCGTTAAGCTTTTGAAAAAAAGTGAAGAGCCTAAACAAGTTCTGGTTTCTATCCACTGTGATTATTTGCATTATTTAAAATTGTTATCAAGTATCAAAGATGTTGTTACTTACTGTTTCGGGTGTGAGTAAGCATTAACCTTTTTTGCGGCAGTAGTGACCGTACATTCGCCATGTTTCCAACCAATGTGATAAGACTATATAAGTAAAATTTAAATGTTTTCGGTAAGGTCAAGTACTTGAAAGAAATTGTTGTAATTCCACAGTTT